AAAAAAATGAGCCGGGCACTGTGGCGCATGCCTGTAGTCCCAGCTACTCGAGAGGCTGAGGCAGCAGGATTGCTTGAGCCCAGGAGTTTGAGGTTGCTGTGAGCTAGGCTCACAGGTCCCCGATTGATGGTTGGTAGTCAATGATGGGTAAGACTCCCCATGTGGGGGGCGATCTAAGACAGCACAACCATGGGGGGCCAGGGAGGAGCCGCCCTGGTTTGAGACCAAGAAGCACTTCAAATGGCTGCATTGTTTTATGTTACCTATGTCGGCCTTGGCTTTTGAGCACCTTAACTTTAGTAACCGTTAGAGGTCTGAGACCATGGGAAATTGTTCCCTTTTGAAACCACTCGGAAATTGACTGATATCTCTGCTATGCTCAGATGCTCAGGTACAAGGAACTAACCTTGGGTCTGGGGGGTATAAAAATTGTAAAGGCGATAAATAAATAAAGCGACCAGTGCATTGGTCACTCAAGTCATTGTCACGTCCTTGTGCGTCTGTGTCATTATTTTATGTTCTGCGTTCATCCCCCGTTCTGCAATCGGGCCACGACATTGCTGTGAGCTAGGCTGATGCCATGGCACTCTAACCCAGGCAACAGTGAGACTCTGTCTCAAAAAAAAAAGAAAGAAAGAAATAAAATAAAATAAAATAAAATAAAATACAAATAAAAAGAGAAAGTAGAGGGGCATTTACACATTTACATTACAGAAACACAGGGACGGCCTAGAGGGGCAGGTTGTGCAAAAAGGAAGGCAGAGAGTGAATGGATGTGGCTGCAAGGCGAGGAACACCGGGAGTTACCCACTGTAGCCAGAAGTGAGGTGATAGAACAGATTTTCCCTCAGAGCCTCCAGAAGGATCCAACCCTGACTTCCTATTTCTGGCCTCCAGAACTGTAAAACAAACACTTCTGTTGTGTAAGCACGTGCATAGCATTTTGTTACATGAGCCCTAGGAAAGTAGTACCCACCTCAGTAATGTTGATTTTACTGTTAAGTTGGGAAAAAGCATGGAAACATAAGGTTAAATTTAAAAAGCAAGTTGCAGGCCAGGTGCGGTGGCTCACGCCTGTAATCCTAGCACTCTGGGAGGCCGAGGCCACGGAGGTGTTTTGGAGGTCAGGAGTTTGAGACCAGCCTGGCAGAGAGCGGGGACTCCGTCTCCCTAAACCTAAAAAATAGCTAAAATTAGGCGGGCGCCTGTGGCTCAGCTGTATACCTAGCTCTTGGGAGGCCGAGGCGGGCGGATTGCTCAAGGTCAGCGAGTTCAAACACAGCCTGAGCAACGAGCGAGACCCCCGTCATCTACTATAAATAGAAAGAATTATTGGCCAACCTGATATATACTATAAAAATTAGCGGCTGGTGGCGCTGCCTGTAGTCCCCGCTACCTCGGGAGTGAGGCAGGAAGATCACACTCAGCCCAGGAGTCTGAGGTTGCTGTGAGCAGGCGCGCCAGGCATCCCACTCCTACCTGGAAACCAAAGCGAGACTCTGTCTCAAAAAAAAAAAAAATAGTAAAATTAGCCAGTGTGTGGTGAGCACCTGTTAGTCCAGTACTCGGGAGGCTGAGGCAGAAGATGCTTGAGCCCAGGGAGTTTGAGGTTGCTGTGCTAGGCTGATGCCACGGCACTCTAGCCTGGGCAACAGAGTTAGAGTCTGTCTCAAAAAAACAAAACAAAACAAAACAAAAAAACAGGCCGAGTGTGGTGGCTCACGCCTGTATTCCTAGCACTCTGGGAGACCGAGGCGGGCGGATTGCTTGAGGTCAAGAGTTCAAAACCAG